GTGGTATTGGGGTGGTTGTGGGAACGAGGAAGTATACATGGGCGTGGTTGGTATCAAGCGAAGGAGAAGGGAAACTGTACCTGGGTGTGGTGAGTGGTATTATGTATTCGTCCACCACTGTGCACAAGGTCGAGGTACCTGAGCTGAAAGGCGATGGATGACAAGGAAGTAACTAAGATAATGACAATCAGCATTTGAGGGGTCCGAACAGGCAAATAACACTGAGAGCATTTTGCATCTAGGGGTGAATAAACTCTTCAGTCAGATACACGAGTGATGAATGCACCCGGGGTACATTGATTACCATTATCAGCCACTTGACGTAACAGTTTTCATTGTAATGATGGCTGCCAATAGCCAGACTTGGTTTACCTCATTCTAAACTGGTTCTAGTTGTAATTTTCCTTTTCGAAGACAGGAAGTCATGCACGTAGGCCTATTGACCTATAGGCCAACTACTGACCTTCCCCCAGGAAGCAACACGGCAACAATTGCCTAACTCCCCGGTACCTATTTTAAGAACTGCTAGGTGGACCGAGGCATCAGGTGAAAGGAAACGTACCCAACTGTTTCTACGTATTGATTGAACGCGGGTGCCTCGGTTGTGAGCTGAAACGTAGTCTACTGTGCTTTATACGACGATTGTAGCTACAATGTACACACAATAACAAGTAACAAATCAAATGAAAACAATTTAAAAATTACTTGTACATTATAAGCGCTAATGGGCACTTTTAACCCATAGATTGATTTCGTGCTTGTGCGGAATGTTATCGTTTTAGATTCAGCTACTCAGAACATGAAGTTCCAAGTAGCACGGGCTATGGTGAGCCCGTAAACTTGTGCGGAGCAGGAAGTAGGCTTATGGGGAGAAAGGAGATGCAGGTAGAGATAGTTTAACGGTTCATGAAACACTAGGAGGTGGATAGTACTGTGATACTGGCGATGCTGGCTAACCTCGTCACCATCCAACCTATGGTCGTATTCTCTTCCCGCCAATATTGTAAACGATTTGTTGGTTCCTATTTTGGTACGATATTTATTGGTTATATATATATATATATATATATATATATATATATATATATATATATATATATATATATATATATATATGATATGTTTATTAATGGTGTTTTCTATATTTGCCACTGAAAATGTCTCTGTTTTGCCTAACCAGAAACGCAGTGACTCAAGCAACCCACCTACTAGCCTATCGAGGAAGCTGTATACAAAACGTCGATATTATGCCGCTTTAATATTGACAAATACGTCGCATTTTGAACCAATTAGTCGATTCCGTAAACAAATAAGTCATACTAAGTGAGAGAACAAAATGTAGCTGCAACCAGTCCAATAATACGTCACATTTTTTGACGTATAAGTCTCCCTACGGCCGAAAACTGACGTACTAAAAATCATAGCGGCTGGCTAAACTGACGTGATGCTCCGTTTTCTATTCGTGGGTCGTCGGTTAGGCTAGGTTCGGGGTTTAGTACATCGTTTTAACGACGTTGGGAAGGCTCGTGAGGACTGGCTGGTGCATGAGGTAATCCCCCGCACGGGATCACAAGGGAAGACTCTAGTTTTCCCAGTATGATGAAAGCGGGAGCAGAAAAAAATGTACAACCATTTATAAATCAAGTTTTCATTTGACTAACATAGACCTAACTGGGGGGGGGGGGAGACTAGTCGACATGATCTATGTAACTGTTAATGTACACCTAATTAGGGAAGACACGGCAACATGACCTTTGTAGCTGTGGAGATGCGTAGGTCTGTCCTTGATTTGTACCGGGAGGAGTGGCGCCGCCCCTCTACCCGTCACACACCCTCAGTACTATCCACCACTACATGGATAGTGTATATCCATGTAGTGGATGGAATCGACTTGAGAATGGTCCAGGACGGACCGAAACGTCGTCGTCACTTCACCTTCTAGTGTGTGGCTTGGTCAACACTACATGGGTATTCACTCAACCACTATCCATCGACTACTATCCATCCATCCATATATGTCTATATATTCCAGTAGATACATTTCATCAATCATAATTGTTGTTGCTATGGAGATATTGCATGGTCGTAGCTGCAAGTTCAGTCACAATGTCCTTGAATTTGTGTGTGTGTGTGGGGGGGGGGCACCCTACTGCGTGTCGAGGTTCACTGTCTCATGCTTGACTGCTCAATGTTTAGTCTCAATTAAGAGAAGTGGTTAGGCATCTTTCCTTTCATCTCATGCCACTTCACCCAGCAGTTAATAGGTACCCGGGAGTTAGACAACTATTTCCGGAGTTGCATTCTGGGGAGGGTCAAAAGTTCGACCTTAAGAGACCTCGCTATAAGCCTAAAGTATATATATACATGCAGGCTTCCTGTCACCCGATAAAGCTAATTATATAATGCCAAACTTGCAGCTTAAAATACACACACACACAAAAAATTAGAAACATTGCACAGAATTTTATAATTGTCAGATATTAAAATGAGTTGTATATCAGCAACAGATTCTGGGGTAAGTAGCCTCAACACCTCACCTATAGTGCCACAGCCATAAGGAGACCAGCAGGGATAAAGTACCAGTGGTGGTGGTTCGATTACCACCTCATAAAGTGCGGAGAATGTCACAATAACGGGATTAAAACAAATAATCCAATTCACGCATGTGGAATGACACGACAGTTAGTTTAGTTCATTTATTATGCACCCCATACCCATCTTGTGGGCGGTAGTGGAAAGGGTTACAGAGGCACATAATGGGCTCAGGGACTGAACCCCACAATTCATTTAGCTAAGCAAGTTACAATCTTGATGAGCTAGTTACAAAATTCAATATAAGTCATCACATCAACAATGGGTTCGAGATCGACCTCAAGTACAGGTTCTAAATTAAGCAACTGACATATGTGGAGAGCTAGTGTCAAAATTTATATGTTTGTCCTGCACACCGCCCCCCATCCAGTGGGCAGCGGTGGATAGGTTACAATCACTTAGTTACTACCTACAGTTAGCAAACTGGGGATATTTGGCTAAAATTTCTGGTAGCAGATCATTTTGAATGAAATATTGACACATCGCTGGAACATTGGTTATAGAATTGTCTCTAAATTCACGTATCTTTTCGCACTCCATCACATAGTGACGGAGGGTGTGCGAATAATTTTGTTGACACAGTTTACATTTGGTCAGGTCTACATCAGCAGATAATGAGAATTCCCAGAGATACTTGTAACCGAGTCTAAGCCGAGCAGTAGTAACATCTAGAAGTCTGCTGATTTTATTGGATGATCCATAGATGTGTGGCTCCTCTTGCATGATAGTATGATGATAGATGGAATTACTGGTGTCAATTTCACTTTGCCTCAGATCTACAAGATCTTGTTGAAGTTCTCGGTGTACAGCTGCTCTCAGATTGCTCATTGACAATCCAAGGTTACACTCAACGGCTCCTTTAAAGGCAGATTCTTTGGCTAACTTATCAGCTCTATCATGCATTCGGAGGCCAACATGAGATGGAGACCACATGAAATGGACTCTGTTACCATCCTTAGTAATTTTGTTGTATTTGTGTCTAGCTTCGGACACGAGCATGTTACAGTTATGTCTTAAAGAGTTGAGAGCATTTAAGGATGATAAGGAGTCACTTACAATTAATGTATCAAGTTTTGAGACTTGTACACATTTCAGTGCAAGGATCAAGGCAAATAGTTCAGTCTGAAGGGTAGAGGCCCAGTTGTTTATACGGACTCCCCACTCAAAGTATAGGCCATCGCCCATTGTCAGGACAACTGCACTTCCAGCTGCACCCGTGGTGCGGTGTAGGGAACCATCAGTGTATATAATTTGAGAGAGAGAATGCTCTGTGGACAGAGCATCAATATGGCTTAAGGCGTTGAGCTTTGCCTCAAGACGAAGCTTGGGCTGATCTCTAATTTGCTTCTTGGGTGGAAAGGGAGGGATTAAAACTGGAAAGGGTGTAACCTCCCACGGTGCAGGAAAGTGCCGCTGTTGTTTCTCTTGGTACAAATCATGAACCTGATACATTCTGAGTTGGGTTCCAGTTTTTGTTATCCATTTGGAACAATGCTGATCTTCAATAAAGAAATTCTGGAGGGCTTCTGTGCAAGGATTAGGATGAGTTAGCCTAAGCATTTTTATACCAATTTGACAGTTAATTTCAGTAACACGATCAACAACGCTCAGAATATTAAGTTCCTTTCTCATATTAAGTATCTTTGTGGTACGAGGGCACCCAAGGATTATCCTCAAGGCTTCGTTTTGCAATTTTTCAAGCCCTCCAAGCTTTCTTTCAGGCATCAAAGCAAGCAGAGGTGCAGCATAATCTACTAAAGATCTGATGTATGCAAAGTACATCATACGATGTTGGACGCGATGAGGGGTCCAGAACGGACTGAAACGTGATAAGGATCCAGAACGGACTGAAACGTGATAAGGATCCAGAACGGACTGAAACATAATGATCCAGAACGGACTGAAACATGATAAGGGTCCAGAACGGACTAAAACATCGTTCCTTTCACGTCGTGAAAACTCGTCCTCCCAATATAACTTCGCACTTTGACGTATACTTTTACCTAAGGGCAAAAATCGTCGTACTAAAAAATGGACGCGACTCGACAAATAGACACACTGTCCCGTTTTCTGTTTTGGGTCCTCTGATAGAGTTAGGATAAAGGGCACTTTAGGACGGCAGTTTCTTGACGTTGGGGGACCTTAGGAGGACGTGCTCATATGTCTGCGTGTTGGGTTAATTATCTCGTCAGTGCTACAATTGTATTAATGAAACGTTGCTCAATATTCCGGAGTATTTTCAAGTTGGCTTAAAGGGGTTAAATTAAGATACCAAGAAGGCAAAGGGGTTTACTGACAAACGTTATCATATATAACAAGTATAACATAACAGGATTTATTATGTAATAGTAATTATTGATGTTATGTTGAATGATTTATAACTACGATGTGTTCTTGCTTTTTTTCAGATAACCAAAAAGAAGACATCATACAGCTAAATAGCTAGACTCATCCGAACCTTCCTGTTCTCCATACTCAAGTTATAGCTCACTTAAACAAAAAAAATGAACCTTTTATCCACGTTTAAGTAAATCCAATATTTTTGGGAAAGAGAAGTACAATACCCCTGTTGATTTATGTACCGTAAAGGCTTAACGACAGCCTCTAACGTCAGATTTGCTAAACACATTTGAAGGTTATGGAGTTGTAGGAGACTAATGTATACGGCCAGTGTGATAATATTAGTTTTTCTGCCTCGCTCCTGAGATTTGCTCCGCCATGGATACGTTTTTTATTTTAATCCCTTCATTTCATGTAGCACTGAATTATATTCAAGCTGATCCTTGATATTCATTAAATACTCACAATATTCCTTATACGAAATTACAAGAAATTAGTCTACATAGTATAAAATCCTATAAAAACTTAAATATAATACAAATGAATCAGCATCCCCAATGATCGTACAAAAACTGAAATACATAATATTACCCGAGTTTACCTGAGAGCCACTAAGACAAGTGGCCTCGACGAGGACAGGAAGCCGGCGGCTTGTTGAAGGTTCCCCCCCCTTTGCCTTGATACATATATAAACGTAAATTTCCAATTGGCATCGTGGTGTGTGGAGTAAGAGCAGGCGACGATGGCTGGCCTGAGTGTGCGTGTCAAGTTTGGGTACGGAGTGGGACACGTCCTGAACGACCTCTGTTCTGCCATGTGGTTCACCTACCTCCTCATCTACTTCCACCACGTGCTCCTCTTCGACAACTCCCTGGCTGGTGTTGTTCTCCTCATTGGGCAGGTTAGTCAATGTGGAAAGAGGCTTAGGTAAGTATTTTGGTTTGTATAACGCCTTGGGAGTGTTTCATCAACTTGTTGGTTTTCTTTGTGTGTATGGCAACAGAGGAATGATGGTGGGGGGGGGATGGTTCCTATAGTTAGTGTATGTGTAAGTATATTGTGTGTATACAGTGTATTATTACCTATGTGTGGCTTACAAGGGAGGTTATCTTGAGATGATTTCGGGGCTTTAGTGTCCCTGCGGCCCGGTCCTCGACCAGGCTTCCACCCCCAGGAAGCAGCCCGTGACAGCTGACTAACACCCAGGTACCTATTTTACTGATAGGTAACAGGGGCATAGGGTGAAAGAAACTCTGCCCATTGTTTCTCGCCCGGCGCCCGGGATCGAACCCGGGACCACAGGATCACAAGTCCAGCAGGCTGTCCGCTCGGCCGACCGGCTCCCCGAGCTTCAGCTCTTGGTGTCCCGGCTGCCTCTGCCCATTTAACCTATTTAATCTAATAACAAATTGTCTGAACAGCTTATGCAAGTGAGACACTAAGGCATAGGAACAGTAAAGATAAGGATTGGGGGTGTGGAAATACAGTATGCCCGAAACGCTTTGCGTAATAGTGGCTTTAGGCATTGTATGTACTAGCTCTACCTATAAGTCAACCAATCTTTGTAAAAATTTCTTGTATGTATGTACCTTACCTAAATAAACATTTTATTTTTATTTAGTATTAGGATATGCCATTTTCACAATTATCAATGACTATAAAGATAAGAAAGAACGCTTTAGTTAACTACTAAATGTGCATGTCAAATACTTCCAAAATAATGCCATGGATTTTCTGAAAGGAGAACTAGAGTAGAAAATTGGGATACAATATTTAAAAATTTTAGTTTGCTTCCAGTAGACTTTTTCTTATGTTTGTTATTCAGCTTTCGTAAAAAGTACCCACATGAAAAACTTACAAAATAAAATAGAGCATGATTAAATTAGTTTGATATATTTTCATACTATGTTTTCAAGTTTTTCGCTTCTCTTATACAATGTAAGCAGTGTAGTGTACTTTGAATGCAATTATATCTCTCAATGTAAATTCAGAAATGAATAAACCTTGGCATCTATGATACAATTATTCATTTCTTTGATATTTAAAATCTAATGACCAAATAAAGTCATATAAATATAGTATTGCAATAAAATTGTGTCTAATATTTTTTTTATTATTTCCATTATGCAGGTGTGGATTCATAAGTATTATATGCAACTTAGTGTTGTATGTTAAATTGCGATAACTAAATTTGAATCATATTAACTTCTCTTCTATAGTCTTTGACAGCAGTTGTAGAGTGTTGTGCATTATGCACCATGAAATTACAGGGACGTGATTTATCTATGAGAAAATATTAAAGCCATATAACGGATCAAAACCTCGTCTCTGAGCTCCTCAGTAATGTGGGTTGGATCCCGTTGTATGGCTACAATATTTCCTTACTGTACATTGTCTTATGTGTCATTGTACCTGGATGAGGTTCTGGGCATTTTTCTACTCCCCAAGCCTGGCCCAGACTTGACTTGTGAGAGCTTGGTTCAACAGGCTGTTGCTTGGAGCGGCCCGCAGGCCCACATATCCACTACAACCTGGTTTCTCAGGCACTTCTTGCCAAAAACTATCCAGTTTTTTCATTAAAGACTTCCACTTTTGGTCTGACAATATTTCTTATACTTGCAGGGAGGATTTTTGGTAAATTATTATATTGGTGTCCATTATATATTTTCTAAAGCAATGTGTAATATTGGCAAGAAATGCTTACAGATTCTTCTACATATATTTAATAGGTGGCTGATGGATTGTCCACACCCTTTGTTGGTCGGGAAGCAGACCGTACCGATGACCTGCCCTTCTGTACGCGTTATGGCCGTAGAAAATCATGGCATCTTTTCGGTGAGTGGAAGTTTCTTTTGATCACATGCTATTGCTGTGTTTGGTGAGGTTAGGGTCCTGTAGCACAGTAGTCTATGACTTCAAGGGACCTGAGTTCAATCTCCATTTAGGACAGAAACGAGTGGGTGTGTTTCCTTTCGCCAGATGCCTCTTGTTTGCCTAGCAATTAAATAGGTACCTGGAAGTTAGGCTATTGTTGTGGATTTCAAACTTTTGGGAAGTCAGTAGTTGGTTTAGGGCAGCGTTTCTCAACAGGAGTTCCCTGGAACACTAGAATTCCGCCCAACCACTTGGGCTGGATGGTAGAGCGACGGTCTCGCTTAATTAATGCAGATCGGCGTTCAATCTACGACTGTCCACAAGTGGTTGGACATCATTCCTTCCCCCCGTCCCATCCCAAATCCTTATCCTGACCCCTTCCCAGTGCTATATAGTCGTAATAGCTTGGCGCTTTCCCATGATACTGTAGTTCCCCCTTCCCCCCTTTTCACAATAGATGGTGGTAAATAGGTTAATGCTTTCTTCATAGAGCAGTGCTGATTTAAAAATCTCTTGGAGATAAATTGAAGAAGTTTTTGATGGTGCTATAGTAATGGTCAGCTTTATTAAAGAAAGACCAGTTCACTCCAGAATTATCAATGTTTAATATCTTATGTTTAACTGTCAATGTTAAAGAATGTTTAAGACGCTGTGTGAAAACCTTGACAAAGCACTTGAATATATTGCTACATACAGAAATCCGGTGGCCGAGTAGAGGAAGGCTTCCAAATAGGGTATTTGAACTGGAAGATGAATTGCAGGAGTGCTTTCAAGAAAACATTAAGCCACATTTTGCCAACTGCTTTGAAGATAAAAAAATGGCTGCAGAAGCTAATCTACTTAGCAGACATTTTTCATCATATGAATCAGTTAAACAAGTCACTGCAAGGTCCTGAAGAAAATTTATCGACTTCGAGTGACAAGTTTGTTGGATTTAAAAGAAGACTTTCTAAAATCTAAAAGAAGATTTTAATGAATTGGAAAATCACGTTGCAAAAGTAAGATTTGAAATGTTTCTGTGAAGAAGGCTATCAGCAAATTTCAATGAAATGAAAATGAAATCCAAATGGAAGAACTATTGATCAAGCTTGAACACATTTTCTCTTCCTTTCAACGCAAGTGTTTAATTGAATGAAGGAGCCATACTCTGAATCTTCTGCACATCCTGAGAACTTGACTTTATGAGAAGAGGAATAACTCTGTAAACTGCAGTCGGATCGTATACTCAAGATGAGAGTCATTGCCCTATGAATTTCTGTGAAAGATGATTATCCTACCATTCATAGGAAAGCAATAAATATATCACTGCAGTTCTCAACTCCTTACATGTGTGAGTAAGCTTTTTCTCGTTTATCCGGTATCGAGAGCAAAGACAGAAATCGTCTCCTTTCAGTTGAAAATGGAATCAATGTGTTTAGCTAAAGTTTGACCCTGAATTAAGTACAGTACAGTATTTGTGTACCAAAAGACAAGCACAGGTTTCGCATTAGAGAAGCCAGTTTCGTTATCTAAATTGCCTTCAAAAATAACATTGACTTGGCCCACATGCTGTATTTGTTCATATGGCTTTGATTTATCTTATGCTTTTACAACATTGCCAGTGTTTAATTTTTGTGTTTACAGCTATGGTTGATTTTTTTGTTACTAATAAATACCTGATTTTTTACCTGAGGGCTACTAACCCTAGTGGCCTGAACAAGGACAGGAAGCCAGCAGCTTGTCAAAGGTCCCCCATTTGCCTTGCAAAAATATATGTTTTGAGATAAATAAATATATATTACATAAATTACATTTTTATGTCGGCGTTTCATTAAGACATAAAAATTGCTGCAAGAGTAAAAAAAAATGTTGAGAAACGCTGGTCTAGGGGGACGACCTTGATAGCCTAAGTACTGGGGTTAAGTACTGTATGGGGTTTCCTGATCCCCAGCAACTGGAATTATTAAGTGGTGTAAAGGTGATCATACTAGCCACAATGATTCAAAAGTTGAAAAATAGAAATTGAAAAGTTTTGCGAGAGCATTAGTAAATGAGCACAAAAGAATTGTTTATACAAATTTTGGGTATGCTAAGTTAAAAGATATTTATTTCCTGATGATAGTTATCCTTTGCCCCCTTGATATCTAAGCCTATGATGCAATTTTTGAGTAGTTGAATGCATATTTTTCTTAAAACTCCTGAATGCATATTTTTTAGTTAATTGCCACTTATTTAATTACTTTTGTCTGCCTTTCTAAGCTATCACATTCAGTTGCACCCTAAGATAAGTTCTTCTGTGCCAAATAACTGGACTGAGAATAAGTCAGGTCGGCTGTCATTCTGGGACAAGCATCATGGGGAGTTTTCAGGCATCTCTGCAAGGTCATATTAGGTACGAGGGAGTTACTTACTAGAGAAAAACCCCAAGCCTTGCCCAGGATGGCATATGAGCTCATAGCCTTTACAAACCCTCTCATGGTATCACAATCTCTACGCTAGTCTCCGTGGCGTAGTGGTAAGACGCTCGCCTGGCGTTCCGAGAGCGCTTTGTCGTGGGTTTGTATCCTGGCCGGGGAGGATTTACTGGGCGCAAATCCTTAACTGCAGCCTCTGTTTAACTCGTCAGTAAAATGGGTACTTAGTTGTAAAAACGATTCTTTGCGGGGGTTGTATTCCAGGGAACATAGGATTTGCCCGAAACGCTACGCGTACTAGTGTCTGTACAAGAAATGTAACAACTCTTGTATATATAAATAAAAAAAATCAAGTGACCACGAACAGAGGCAGTTTTGATCTTTAGTGAGGAAAAATGTTTTGGGAAGATGGGTTCCAACTCATTTCTCCAGCCCTATAATTCACGATGCGAGACCGATTGTACCACATAGTAAACAGTATATCTGCTAACAAATGATCTCCCAGTGTGAGATGCATGGCTGTATAATCTTTGTGAAACAGTCTCGTCCCTGTGTAGCACTGCAATCTTTCCATCATATCCATGCCTCATTGTATCTTTCTACTTTACTCTCAATCTTAATTTTATCTTAGCTTCTTCACCAGAGTTCTGTGTATTCCATCATCAGTTCTCATCATGTAAGGGGTACCATCCAAATCCTCCATCTCTGGTATACTATATTTACACATCTTTCTGTATTATAATTCCTTAGTCTATTTACTTATACAGTATATGAACAATTCTATTTTAGGTACAGTACAGTACAATTACTTGCACTCTCACTGTAGTCCACGTTTGCATACAGTACTGTACTCGTGTTTCTTAAACATCAGAGTAGACCTTAGTGGACTCTGTAGTAACTACTTTAGAATGCTGTACTAGCTACAGTACTACTACTTCCTCAGGAATTACAGGCCACAAATGATGTCTGTAAATTTCCCATGATGAAGCAGTTGCTATTAATCATTCCTTTACAGTATTAGACCCATAGTGTTGTATATATTGCTTATGAGAGTATTGCATCAGATAAAAAGAAGAATGACATTCAAAAAAGAATAATTGTTGTATTTTAGCTCTCAGTTGTTAATAGTCTGTAAGTAAATGACAGTAGAGTACTTTTGTTTTTATTTAGATGATAAGCTAATCAATAAATTTGAAATTATCAGCTCATTTCTTATACAGTAAAATATTTGATGTTATTACTGAGATTAACCCATTTTGTTGCTTTCTTAGGTAATGTCCCACTTTCACAAGACTTGGCAAAGTACCAGCCAGCTAATTCGACCTTCGTTTTCCGTCACAGCAGAGATCTCTTCAAAATTTCCTTGTCTGACCATTAAAAGTGGTGACCGGGGAGGTCAAGTGGGTTATGGGTATTGGAAGTGTATTTACCTAATAGAGTATGTTAATATGTTATTATTTGTCAGAGTCTATTTAGGACAAGATAGACAATGGTGATTTCATATCTAGCTTGGAATGACTTCCATAAGGTTCATTTATCTACACTCAAAACCTTCCTTCAGTCAATGATTAGCTTCAAATAGACAGGAAATTATTGTTTTGCCGAGGCAATTTGGGATTGCCACCCGACTTTACTCCCTAGCTGTCGCTGGTGAAGTACTGCAGTTAGTGAGAGACTTATTTGTAGTAGTTAAATAATATGTATTTTAAAACAATAGCTTCATGTGCTGTTTACATATGTTTTAAGTGGACACTTGTGCATGTAGTGTGTATAAAGCCACTTGTATATCATGAGCCTTTGCCAGTCAGCTTTGTAGAGTTTTCTTCTTTATACTAGTTCTATAATGCATTTATCTGAGTCTTAGTGGTTTCCTAGGGGGTCCTTTCTGAGTGTAGTCCCCTCATCTACCCTAGGCCTCTCTCCCTCGGCAGCAGGCTGCTGTCCGCTCTGCTAATGCGTGCTCACATTCGGGAGATGTTGGAGAGCGGAGAGATTGGGGGACTCATTACAGTTTTATTCTTTCCTGAGAACAAGAGAGTCTATCAAGTATAGGATGAATCTCAATTTGCTGAGATTCAGTGCCCTCAAATTGTGTGCAACATTCAGAATGACAGCTTTATCTGGTTTTCCAGGCCCTGTTAAATCATTTGTGGATCATTTCATCAATCATCCAGGATGTGTTTTAGCATGTCAGACATTACATTAAATGCTGTTTTTTTAGAGTAGTTGGATGAACCTTGTGGAGGTTATTCTATGCTAGATAGAGAAATTTCTAGTTTCATCCATTGCTATTATTAGCCCTGCCTGAACCTTTTTAAAAGAGTCTCACTGTATCAGGGGTAAAGCTCAAATTGGCTGGCTGGTACTTTGCTATGCCCAGAGGAAAGTGGAACATGACTTAAGGATCGACAGAGTGGCCTGCTCAGAAAGACGCTTTTCTTTTTAACTGAAGCCCTTATTTTAAAATGCTTGTAACCTGCTTGGATTAACCTGCGTGTCTTATTCTAGGTACCTTTTGTACAGTGAGTGCATTCCCATTTATCTTCCTTGGGTGTTTTGGGTGTGGTTCCTCTGATGAATGGGCTCAGGTAATCTACTATGCCCCATTTGTCATCATCTTCCAGTTCGGTTGGGCGGCTACACAAATCAGCCACCTAGCCCTCATACCCTCCATCACTCAAGACCCAAATGATCGTACAGAGCTCAATGCTATTAGGTACCTGTATAAAAGTTTTGGCTGTTTGTAACTATATATTTGCTTGTTAAATTATTTTGTTGTTTTAAGGAAATTGATGAATAATAACAACTTAATATAGAAGAAACTCCACATGAGATACTCATGCTTTCATTTTCTGGAAGGATGGTATAAAGTGTAAATCAGAATAACCTGTCATTGCATTATTATTGTTACCAGTGGAGATGAAATTGACTTCAGCACTGACCTAAGTTTTGATATACTGGGTAGTTAAGAGGCAACACTTGATAATGAGAACAGTTAAGTCTGGCATGCAAAATAAACTTAATTGAATGACTAACAAATTGTAATATATGATTATGTTACTTAAAGTATGCATGTTAGAAAAAATATTGGAGTAATGAGAGCACTAATTCTTTGAGTACACAGAGAAATCATATTATCGTGATCGATCAATGAGAAAATTGACAGGAGCCGTGAGGAGGATTTGAACCTATGCACTGGGTGTTCCCAGACTAGAGCGTGCATCTGGGAACACCCAATGCATAGGTTCGAGTCCTCATCACGGCTCCTATGGATTTTCTCTATTCTTTTAGTATTTAAGAATTGATGAAATTGATACGGTAATGAATGAAGATATAGTGAACATGGATGATATAAGTTTGTTGTTAGAAATGTTCACAAATAAGAATCTATCCACTAAAAAGACTATCATAATGTTTTATCATAGTGACGAAACATCCTCACTTCACTATTAAATAATAACAAGGAGCTGCACATAATGAATACACACTTTATGATGTTATGGCAGTACTGAATATATAATTGTACTGTACAAGGGAAGAAAAATAATGAGGCTTTTGAGTGTGGTGTATGTGAATTACTCCTTTCTGAGCCAGACATGCAGTTTCTCCTATGGACAAGATCTTGCTGGTCCCCTGGACTGCATCAGCCAAGACATCTAACATTCTGCTACCAAGAATTGATCTGAATTTACCTGAGGGCCACGAACACTTAGTGGCCTCGATGGGGTCAGGAAGCTGGTGGCTTGTCAATGTGAAGAGGTGAAGAGTCAGGTGAGAAAAGGCATAAGAGGAGGAAGAAACATGAAAGAAGACTGGCAGAGAACACGGTACCTCTTTAGAGCCTACAAGGTAGATAATGCAAATGCAAAGATAGTGCAAATAAGGTCTTTGCATGCTGCAAATGAGAAGAGGTCTTAAGACTTGCATTGTGCAAGAGTTATACAGGGTGTTACCTGTATGCACACAAAAATAGTATTCAAAACAAGGCTTTTATCTTCTGTATTGTTAAAAACCATACACAGTATGACAAATACTGGGCCATCTTAGCTTTCAGCATTGCCGGAAATTCAGTGAGTGTTAGTTGCTTCGCAAAAATTATACCATTTAATAACCATAATTTCCTCTTTCTCAACCCATTGTACCTTCATATATATAAAAAAAAACTTTGATCCACAGTTAATGCAAGACTGGCATTATATACAATGTGTACAATGCCAGTAAGCAAAATGGTACGAGATTATATAAAACAGGCAGCTAAATTGTTCAGTTCTATTTTGTTTCAGATACGGATTTACTGTAATGTCCAACATTACGGTTTACATTGTGACTTGGTTAGTACTAGGAATAGACACGGTCAGTCCACAATCTGGTCTTGGTCCTGAGGATGGCATTAAGTTTACGGTGCGTAGACATGTTTTTTTAAGTATTCCTATGATACTACATGTATGTTTTGTTTTACTTATAGTGATGAGCATTTATGGAGTTGACAAGAGTACTGCTAGTTGCTTAAAAAAGTGTCCTATGTAGATAGCAGTGCGTGTGTGAGAGAGTTATTGCGGAATTGAGTGTCTGGTTGGCGCTAAGGTTTGTGAGATTCAAAGATGTGTGATGTCACCCTGGTGATTTAATAAGTACATGGATAGTGTCATGAGGAAGGTCAGGGTAAGGAGACATACCTGACCTTATATTACACATATATATATGGATGTGTAATGTTTGAAGTGTAAATAGAGTGAGGCATGGAATTATGATGGAGAAATGAGTGCAAAAGTGAATAAACAGAAGATGTAGGAGAGCATACCATGATAATTTGGTTGTTGAACAAATGGATGTTAGCAGACTGGCAAATAAAGTTTATTCAAGTGAATTTGTTGATAGAAGGAGGGGGGAGAGGAAGGTCGGGAAGAGAAATGAGCGAGCATGATGAGTGTGTGAGGAAGCAGGACATGAGTATGAACAACTCAAGGGATGTGGTGAGGAACAAGACTGTGTGAAAATGAAATGTAAGGCAGTGAATGTATGGTGTTTATATCTAATGTATGTGACATTTCATGCATATACACCTGGTTTTATTAAACTGGGCTGCAGCTGTGGATGGCTGCTGGAATGAAATAGTGCATGATTATCTTTTATGCTACATAGTATATTGTATTGTAAATGATATAATAAATGGACTACATAATTATATAGTGAAAATTTCATTTAATATCTATGACTTTTTATTATACTGCACTAATCACATTTTATGGGAAGGCCCCTGTCTTAGTAGCTTACTAGTTCTTATACCCTGGTACCACTAAGCCTAAGGATCATACTACGCATTTAAGACCTGCCCTGACCTATCAGGAGAAGGACCAGAATCTGGCTCTTTCCAGATGAGAGCTTTAGGATCAGAGATCTACCAAAAATTGAAGACACCAGTTAGAAAGTTTAGACAAAATAAAATAAACTTCATTCTGAACCTGTCTCTTCTCAACTGCTACATTCCTTGGTCCACATTCTGGGTGACCATATTGTGGGACCCTGGCAAACCTGGGACACCATGTCCCAGGTTTGCCAGGTAGTTTCGTGCTGTTCTTTGCTTGTTTTTCTCGATCTTCCAGATGCTTTCTGGTACATTCCTCTCCACCCAAAGTTAGGAATTGGCTAGGGTTAAGAATGGGGACAGCTCTTGCACCATTTGGTTTGAACTTGGCTCTCAGAATCTTCATCAGACTTACTTGCATAATCACTTGATATATCTATCTGTTACAGTTCCGTATTCTTGCATACTTCGACGGCTGGTTGTTTAGAACCTCCTGTTAATCAGCTTTCCCAACTGGGAAAGCCTAGGGATCTAGTGCTTTCTCAGTTGGCCTATACTGATCAATACTTCTCATATCCATATACATGTTTGTGTGTGTAATTACCCAAGTGTAGTTACAGGATGAGAGCTATGCTCGTGGTGTCCCGTCTTCCCAGCACTCTTTGTCATATATCACTTTGAAATTACTGACAGTTTTGGTCTCCACCACCTTCTGTAACTCTGTTTACGAAAGTGAATTTTCTTATATTTCTTCGGCAGCTTTATTTAGTTTAAATATATGACCTCTTGTTCTTGAAGTTCCAGGTTTCAAGAATTCTTCCCTGTCAATTTTATTGATTCCCATTACTATTTTGTACGTAGTGATCATATCGCCTCTTTTTCTTCTATCTTCTAGTTTTGGCATATTTAACGTCTAACCTCTAGTCATAGCTTTTGTCCTTCAGTTCTGGGAGCCATTTAGTTGCATGTCTTTGCACCTTTTCCAGTTTGTTGATGTGCTTTTTAAGATATGCTTACCTTGTTGTGTCTCCCCAGAGCCTTAATAATAATATGACTTGTAATGTTTCTTTTCAGTATATTGTTTTGACTGTGCTGGCCATTGGTATATTATTTGTTAGTGTTTTCCATGGACTTGTCAAAGAAGTCAACATTCCACAATATGGCAGAATATTACCCGATGATGACGAGACTAGCGGTGCAGACAGTTCTCACACAGACCAAAGGAACTTCTCGCATCAGAACGGTGTGTCTCTATATGCTCCAGTGCACTGTCGCATGACTGCTGTCGACTGGTTCAAAAGCATACAGGTAAAATTGTTTTGCCCGTCACCAATAATTTTTTGTTCACGCAAAATACAAGTCCAATATGAAAAGTAAAGGGTACTCCATCATACAATAATTCAAGGGACTACAATTGCATATTTAGCCATTCTCATTTCTTTGGCTAGTGCCATAGCCATAACATAAGCTAGTAAGAGAATATGGCACACAAATATTTAATGCAAGACAGTACAATGTAAACAGAAGGCTATGTCTGATTGCCTGGAATTATTGAGAATTAAGGATGTTACGAGCATGTCTTGGTAAAATATATTTTGACTGTAAAATAGATGAGTTTCAGGCTTTAGCTTTAAGATAGGTATATGATATGTGGGAGGTGGTCAAAGTAGATTTTATAAGTTTTGGGGAATTGAAACCAATTTTAGATTCTTCTCCTTCTAATTTATGCTTCACATAAAGAGCAGTATTAATAACTCTTGACATAATTAGTCTGTATGAGACACATTTAATCTTCATCATTTAATCATAATTATTTTGTTGGTGTGCTTAATATTCTGGAAAGTAATTAATACTTCTGCAGCATAATGGACTAAGATTGGTGTTGATATAATGGTAGAAGGTCATTTAAATTTAAAAATATTCATATACAGTCATGATAAGAAAAGTTTGTATTTTTTGTATATAAACTTTGGGATGAGTATATTATCAGCATATCTTCCACATTCCCACTGAATTTGGGTAGGGTTCTATTATAATACACTATACAGTAAATTATAACAATGAAAATGTAACTACTGTTACTTTGTAGAATAGATTTCTTAGTTTAGACAATTTGAAAGAACGATGAAACATAATAAATAAAAAATAAGAGAATTCCTAAACCTGAATGATTTGATTAATGTATTTTAATGCACAGTTTATAGGAACAAAAATATGGCAAGGCATCATTTTTGTTTCCTGCAGAAGGCTTTAAAGTTATATAAAGATACTAAGAGAAAATATGGAGGCTGTATAAAATCACGTTCTTGTGATTTCCCTGTGCATAAAGATATTAAGGCCAGTTCAGTAATGCCAGCCCTTCCCTCCTCACAGTTCTACCAGGTGGCTGTGCTCTACATGGGAACTCGGCTCTTCTGTAACCTCTCGCAAGCATTTGTCCCCATATATATCCAAGACACTCTTCACTTGCCTCAAGAATCTGTTGCGTACATTCCGTTGGTGATGTACATTTCTGGCTTTCTCACCACTACTATCATGAGGGCTCTCAACAAGTTCATTGGTAGGAAGGTGAGTATTATATGTTAAGAATTTCCTGGGAAATTCCTGAGGTCAAGCATAATTGATTTTGGAGATTTGTAATCATATGTATGTTTGTGTATGCTTATTTGTATACATTGGGTGTATATGCATTACTGCAGGCTCCCCTAATCAGCCAAGTAGGCAATGGCCTAGGGTCTACCAGCACTTTTTTTTTCTCTCTGCAAGGAAAAATTCCCCAGGGTAAGTGCAAGACTTGCAGAGTGCAGAGAGTGCAAAACTATGCATAACTAACTTTGATAATTAATCATTACCTATTATTAAAATCTGAGCTTTCTGCATGTATGTGTTTCCTTTGAATAGCCACACTGGCCAGGGGGTCGGGTCCCACTTAGCTGTTTTGGCCTAGAACCCAAAAACAGTTAGATCCGGCCCTGCGTGGCTGCCTATTTGTACTTACTGGAAGAGAAATATGCTCATCATATTCTGCTGTCTCCATATATTCTAAAATATAATAGCTATGAAACTTGAGTTGCTTTGGATTGTAATACCTTTTCATGGTATATATATTCCAACCATTTACTAATTAGTGTGAAAAAATACCCATCATGTTTTTCAATTTTATTTTCTCTGTAATTACAGCTGCAACCACTTGTTTATTTTATTACCTCGGGTTTCAGAAGCTCTTTCCCCGATAGTTTCTTCATGTACTGTACTGTAATTTTTCAAATACTGTATATAAGTGGTTATTGTTAATTCCTGTTGTTGGGGAGAGGAAGCCTGTGCTTTGGCTTATTGAAGTCTTCCTAGGCCAGCTGCTGACCTTTCCCAGGATGCAACCCACAATAGTTGCCTAAACTCTGGGGCTACTGCTCAGTGAACAGATGCATAAAGTGAAAGAAACATGCTCAACTGTTTCTGTTTCTTGTTCAGTCCCCTCAACTGAGGGAACTGAACTCAAGTCCTGCAGGTATGAGCTGAAGATATTAATTGTTGCACAGGTTATCTTGAGATGGTTATCTTGAGATGATTTCGGGGCTTTAGTGTCCCCGCGGCCCGGTCCTCGACCAGGCCTCCACCCCCAGGAAGCAGCCCGTGACAGCTGACTAACACCCAGGTACCTATTTACTGCTAGGTAACAGGGGCATAGGGTGAAAGAAACTCTGCCCATTGTTTCTCGCCGGTGCCCGGGATCGAACCCGGGACCACAGGATCCCAGTCCAGCGTGCTGTCTGCTCGGCCGACCGGCTCCCTACCGGCAGGACCCTATTACTTTGCCTATTTTTCTTCCGTCTTTCAATACGGGTATACCATATTTATGGCTTTAAGTCAATCCTTGTTATTTGTGTTTCTCAGCTCTAGAAGCTATGTAGTTGCAAATCTTTAGACTTTCTTAGACATGTTTCTTTAGGTTTGGGCAACTTACAATGGTATGGCAAATTTGGCAACATTGTGTGGGACTTTTATCTTTGGTAGATAAAATACTTTCTGTAGTTACTTCTTGGTCCTTTTTTTATCTAATATAATAAGATCGTGTAACAAAATGCATAATTTTAATGTAGCCTGTTTACTGACTATGCTCGATTATCTAAATTATATTGGGTTCAACCCTTTTCAAGGTAGCTGGACATTCGAGTTAGCTGAACGTTTAGCTGGAAAGTCAAAAGTGAACAAATTTGAATTTATTTACATTTTTGTTCATCAGAAATCTTGGTAACCCAAACTTTTATTAGAGTTGAGCAGTCAAAAATTCAAACTCAAATTTATTTGGATTACCCAAAGACTCAGGTTACCAGAATTTAGATTGCCAATTTCTTACACTATATACAGTAGTTTTGTTTGATAATTTGGTGATCTCCAAACATTTCTCAGAGGAAGAGTGTTTTCCAATTTCCTTTTTGTGTTTGTGGGTGGTTCCCCTCAATAGTGGAATAATCTTTGATCCACATGTGCTTCCTGCCTTGAGAGGGGGGCCTGATTGATGTGAAACGATGATTGCTCCTGGTATGCAAGAAATGGTCATTAAAGCTTGGTGTATTGATAGCATTCCTAGGGTGCCAATGAAGCCAAGTGTGGCTTTGAGTGAACCTGCTAGAGGTCGCTCTTGAGCTGAATCGAGACTTTCTACAGTGAGGTTTTAGCATCAGTATGATCCAAAAGGACATTTGTAAAGGTCTCTGATGTGCTGGTGCAGAATGTTACCTGGACTAACTCTCATGATTCTGTCCATTAGAATCAGAATGGATCTTGCCGTAGGTATCTAAGTAAAATAGCTCAAAGAAATTTGAGAAAATTGAATAACTATAGACATTTATTTGAACTGTATAGGTATCAGCTGATTTATTTAATGAGAGAAATATATTTAAATTAAAATCATGTCTTTGTTTTAAAGATTCTGATAAAAAATAATAATCCCATTCAGGCATCATTCATCTTGGGATGCATCATCGGTGGAGCAGCGTGCATTGCAGTCTGGTTTGGAGAGGGTGACTTCTACAAACAATACCTTTTGTACGGAGTGGCGGCACTGCTTGGAGCTGGAGGCTCCATCATGCTAGTCACATCACTTTCCATTACTGCTGATCTAATTGGACCCAACATAGAGTCTGGGGCTTTTGTGTATGGTGCTATGAGTTTCACAGATAAGCTTTCCAATGGTGCCGCTGTCATGTTAATCCAAAGCCTGAATCCCTGCACGTGAGTATTCATTCGAGACTATTAATTAGATTGTTATGCTTCTTGAATGAAGGATTGTGCATGTATATTTCAAATATCGTACATTCAACAAATCACATAGCTGAATTCTAGGTGTTAGTGCCTTGGTATGGCTCAGTCCTTCCTGAAGTACTTGACACCATCACAATCTCATCAGTCTCTCAATCTGTTTTACATGGGGAAATGTATCTTTGCAAATGATCCTGCCCCCTCAATTAGAATAGGGTGAAAAAGATTTCTGTGCTTGGAATCTTAATAATTCCTATTGTCAGAGAGAGCACAAGCCTGTACTTAGGGCTATCAAGGTTTAAACCAACTACTAACGTTTGCCAGGATGCAACCCACAATAATTGCCTAATTCCTGGGTACCTATTTACTGCTATGTGAATAGAGCCATCAGGTGAAAGGAAACTTGCCATACTTTTTTTGTCCTGCCCGAGGACTGAACCAGTGGACATAGTCCACTGTATTACCATTGTCATTATAAACAAAGCATGGCATGAAAGTTCAAATTAGAGTTCAAATTCAATTTCCAAAAAAGACATCACCATGGTAGGGTTCAAGTCCAAGACAAACCAGACCATACAAACAGTTAAACCATATAACCTCAGAGAAGATAACTCTGAAGACATACATCTTCAACAATCAACGTCAGGGAAGATTACCCTGAAGCTAGGTGGTTAACCACTCTCGTGAGGGACTCGCGTGATTGGTCACAGACAGTGAAGTGAACACAATGCAATGGACACCCTTCACGTAGAGAAAAGTCTCGTGCTACGGTCAACTTAACTGGTCTCTGCAGTCTCTCTTCAGAGACACCTTAATTAGTCTCTTAACTTAATTATGAATTAAATTAAACTTAATTAGATTAGCTGATAGGAAATGTGCCCAACCGTTTCTGTCCTGCTCGGGCTTCAGATCTGGGATTCCCGACTGTGGGTCAAGAACAAACCCTACTGTACCAAGACCCTATTACATTCTGTATATCAACAATCTAAGGGTTAACATGACATTTACTAAGTGCTTCATATATAACATTTGCACATAATTGTATCTCCTCCTATAGCATATGAATTTATATTTAACATTGAAATGTCTTGACTGTTGTGTATTAAACTACATACTGTGTACTGAAATATTCATCATTATAATTTGTATATTTTAACTATTGTTTTTTGTCATATTTTAGCACCTGTTGTCCTAGATGCACGTCTTACTACCAGGAAGCACTGGCCATATCGTGCGGAACAGCAGCTGTATTGAGTCTATTTGCCGCACTTTCTCTCCTCCCCAGCAAGATTGGTGAGCGCAAAAAGGGTAAGTTTGCAACTGTCGCTAGGAGGGGGATAGGGAAACCATTTAATGTATAAACGACCATCCACACTTCTATGGAAATAAACATTCCATTCACCTGGACTGTATGGGCCTTGAACCCGTGGACCCCACGTGCGTGAGGCCATAGCACTATCAACTCTGCTATGAGGAGTCTTAAAAGGAAGATTTCCAGAAGCAGCATCCTGTTGCATACTGGAATTTTAAACTTTCCCTGATTACTACTGAAGCCCAGAGGAATTACTGACCCTTGGATGTTCTAACGGGAAAATAGTGCTTAGCAAATTTGCCTGTCAATCATCAATATCTTGGTTGAAGTATTCTTATTAGATGGGGATCTGGTTATCAATTCTGAGTTTTTAATGTTTTCGGGGGATCTGCTGCCTGGGTAACAGCTTCTCCCCCGAATCAACCTACCCTGCCTTTGCGCCCTGGTGAGGCCACTCCAGACCAGGCCGACATCAGAGCGCAACTCCATAGACTCCTGAGACTGATGGATGCCTACTAATGTCTTATGTCTTGAAGCTTTTGAAGGGGTGGTCACATAAGGTCTTTCCCAAATAAATGTTATTATGTTTTGTAAAACTTATTTCCTCTCAATTTTACCTCGTCAATATTTTGTGCTTATGTGTCGTGTCTCACGTACTTCTTTTTATCACATTAAACTTGGACATTGTTTAATGTGTTTACTGCATGTTTCTCTTCACCTCCTATGCCAGGTGAGTACGACGGGCTCAGCATAGTCCATGCTACTTAGAACTTTTCGTTCCGAGTAGCTGAATCTAAAACAAACATCTTCTTTGCACCTAAGATTGGAGTGTTATTTTTGTATTATTATAATTCATATTAATTATTTACTTTCTTCATACCAGTAGAAACCATATTTAAAATGCATGTACATAAAACAAAGTAATTACTCATAATAATTTGTGGTGGTTATATTTAATGAAAATAATTCTAATTGTTCCTATTGTAGTAGATGTATAAGTTGCCCTGGACAGTGTACATTTTTGATAAATTAACTGTACTAACTTGTATACTGTATGCAGGTTATGAATTGGACCCTTGCTGGACTACTGCTTAGAGCAATGAAACAAGTCTAATGCTGATTTACCTGGTTCTCTTAACTACATATTGACTTTGGCAAAATGTAAATTTAATTATCTAGGATATAGTGAGCAAAGTTCCAATTCACCAGATCCTAAGTGTATTTTCTCCCTCATTAATCGGTTGGTTTTATTTAACATCAAACTCTATTCTTAGGTATTGAATCAGATGAGGGTGTTCCTGAGCGGTCAGAAACTTGTGGTGCCGAGGGAGTCCCAGAAGCACTCACATCTGCTTGTGCAAACTCAACAATGTACACTGTTGCATGCATAGACCCATCAGTTGGTACAGTGGCAGTGGTGGGTGTTGGGCCAGGCATGAGTGATGGTGTTGGTACAGATGCACGACCCAACACTACCGAAGGTGAAGGTTTTTCTCTCTTATAGATAAAAGATAGATATAGTCACAATAGGCATTTGACACACCTATTTGGCAGACACATTTTGGCTCTGCAGCCTTCAAAGCTTTGAAGGTTTTAGCTTATGGTAATCAAGTGCACAATAAGGTAACGAATATAACCAAGGGATGATGCACAATATATAGTAGCAAACATAAACAAGGGATGATGAGCAGTATGGTAGTGAACATAAACAAGGGATGATGAACAGTATACTAGCAAACATAACCAAGGAATGATGTACAAGAAGGTAGTGAACATAACCAAGGGATGATGAACAGTATTCTAACGAACATAACCAAGGGATGCCCGCCAAACACACACGACGAAACTACGATGTTGCCACAACATTCAAACAACTTGTAACACCTTCTAACAAGTAGTAACATGTATCTAGCAAGTTGTAACAACTTTCTAACACGTCATAAAACCTTTATACAAGCTGTAACAGCTTTGTAACAAGTTGTAATATGGTAACATTAGGGACTGTTACATTGTGTGTTTGAAGGGTGATGCACAATAAGGTAGTGACATAACCGAGGGATGATGCACAGTATAGTAGTAAACATAACCAAGGAATCATGCACACTATGGTAGTGAGCACAATCACATTTTCTAACAAAGATGGAATGTGGATACACACAACAGGTAAACATTAAGTTCATATTTTTTTTAAATATTTATTACTTTCATTGTTGAACTTTATTAAGTAGGTTGTACATGTATTTATGTTTTTAATAAGTGCAAACTAAGAGCTTTAAATATAACATATAATTGTGTTTTGAAGCAGACTACAATGTGCATGGGTGTTTTATTTAATTAATTTTTCACTCTCCTTATCAAATTTCTGGCAGTAAAAAACTACATGAATGGTTTAAATGTTTAACTATAAATAAATACAAATTTCAGGGTACACTGCAATTCCACAAGGTGTCCGAGCTCGGATAATATCATCGTGTTCGGATAATGAGGAAAGCAGCGGTGACGTGTCTGTTGCATAAGCTACTAAGAGCAAGTTAGCATATTTTGTTATAATAAGTTAAATGGATGGCTGTGTATCAGTAACATCTGTGAAACTCGTGAAGCTCAAGCAGGTCGGCGTTCAATCCCCAACCGTCCAAGTGGTTGGGCACCATTCCTTCTCCCCATTCCTTCCCAAATCCTTATCCTGATCCCTTCCGAGTGCTATATAGTTGTAATGGTTTCGCGCTTTCTCCACATACTTCCCTTCCCTTAGTGGTTGTTCATAATGACGGGGCATTATTTTGCTTGGAGCGTGAACGACAATAAGCAAAGCTCTTCATTCATGGAGGTGGATAATTTCCAGATATTTTAATTGCTTTCAGTTGACATTCTGAGTTGTAGATACTTAAGCCAATTTATTTTGTACAAGTTTGACTGTGGAAGATACTTTTGCAGTGACTGATATTTACATTGATCGTCAGGTTGTAAATAATACATCATGCAAAAACCATAAGTTAAAATAAATCTAATGCATTTTTGTATTCGATCAATTCCTAATGCAGGAATTTATTAAATCAATCTGAATTCAGTGTCTTAAATCTGAAAGAACAAGTAAACAATGCAAATGAAGAACAGTTTTGTTTAGTGTTTGTCTAGTGTTTTACCCAGAGGGTCCAAAAAGGAAATTTTTTTAAATAAAATTATTATGTATACTGTATCTAATAAGTGAAAACCCTGATAATTCCAACTGTGTTTTTTGAAGAAAATAATTATAAAATGAATATAGTGTTGATAAAAAAAGTAAAAAGTTAATTTTTAGTCTATTTTCTAGTAAATAATATATTCTATATATTGTTATAAATATAACCAATATTCAAAATCATTTCAAATTATGATTATTATATTTTTTACGGGGACAGGCTATTTTCTTCTTTAGCTTTCTCAATATTTCATTTCTTATAAGATCAAGATGTGCCCTTTCTATAGATGCCATGAAAAGTTATGAAATATGTTGTTTTAGACAGTATAAAAAAATATGTACCTTTTTAATTATTATATAATTAAAACAAAATAAAAAAGTCTTGAGTTACTTGAGAGAGAAGAGAGAAGATTAAGCCACCCAAAAGGTGGCTTGGGCATGAATAGCCCATAAGTGGTGGCCCTTTTGAGCCATTTCCAGTATCAATAGATGATACTGGAGATCTGTGGAAGTGCGACTGCACCCTGCGTGACGGGAGATGTCTCCCGTGTTGAGTTACTTGATATCAGACGATACGTGTTCCAAATGGATAGACTATCGCCATAACCACACACATAAGGCTTCCGGGCTTTACACCTTTTGACTATTACGAATTTCGTGGTAAGTACTGTGTGTTTATTTGTGTATTATATTCTTGTTTCAAATTGCAGACAGAAATCAATTCGGCTCCTTATTTTTATACTACTGATTTGTTGCATTGTTTTCTTTATTGCTTTATTAAAAAAAAATACATTTCTCAGTAGGAAAAAGAATGCTCCGCATATATTTGCCATTACAGGAGAGGAATACCAAGATGAAAATTTATATACACAAAAGTTCCTTGCAAGGTTGTAAATTGACTTCAAAATATATTTAATATCTATCTTTCTCACTCACTCACTCACTCTCTGTTACATATGATACATCATTCAAAATTCAAAATCCTATTTAAAAACAAAATAGATGTGAGGTACAAGCATAATTCCCGATATTTGCTGCTATACGTGTATTTGATTCTGCCGCCGACCACTTGGTCTGGCATTTGCCATGTCCAGGGGCTTGTTTTGAAGGTCAAAAGGACCTGGTTGAACATTACATATGTGATTTGGTAAAGTATAATGATAAATGCTGGAGTATATACATATAATATATGCAAAATATTTTATCTACATTTTAAATGATTGTATCTATTTTGGACAGTTTTGTAGAAATTAATTATACCCGTATCATGTTTTTCATATATGATACTATACATGATTAAATATAAAAAATTATTTAATTGAATACAAGACAAATATACAAATGTGTTTTTGTTTTGTCTCGCTGCATGCAGGTTGGCATTCAGTCCCCGACCGTCCAAGTGGTTGGGCATCGTTACTTTCTCCCTCCCCCCTCCTCCCCTGTCCCATGCCAAATCTTTATCCTAATCCCATCCAAGTGTTATATAGTCAAGGTGGCTTGGCACTTTCTCCTGATAGTTCCCATCCTTTCTCTCTTTCCTCGCTGTTTGAGTCAGATATTTCATCATACACACATTATAATTATCCTGTTTCCAACATTTATGGAGAGGCATCAGTTCAGAGGAGAAATGTGAATAATATATCAAAAGAAGGTTATAGATATTAAACAATAAAATATTAACAGATATTGCTCATCCATTCACTACGTTTACGACATAAGGCACCACAGGAAAAACAACCATTACAACACTCCAACAGTCATCCACAGCAGCAACCCACCACTTCGTACGTCCAGGTGTACAGTGCGCCTCGCGAAGTGTCGTAATTCATTGGACTGAAATTCGTTCACGTCTTACAACTGCTTTCAACCCACCTTTGTTCAAATTAATTATTTGTTCCCTACCATTTCCAATGTGTTGTCCATACCCTCCCTACTTCCTCACTCTCATCACGTCAACCCACTTTCTTCTTGTCCTTGGCCCCCATTTGTTAAAGTACTTTGATATAGATTTATCTCCAGCAAAATATATATTTACACTTAAATTCATGTGAAGTTGCACTGTATATATATATATATATATATATATATATATATATATATATATATATATATATATATATATATATATATATATATACTTATATATACTTATATATAATCAATTCATGCTAGATCCTGCCCATTATAGCAAAAATCTGTTGCAGCAGAAGATTGGCAATAGTTAAAAATCTTTACTTCTCCGCTATTTGGGGCGGGGGGAATAATGTGGTTTTTATTTGTTAAATCATGAACACCTTTTGATACAAAACTCCTGCATGTGTAGTACATACAAGTTCTGTGTAGATACTCAATAAATTTAGATTTTTAAAACATAAACTGGCATGTTGACCAGACCACACACTAGAAGGTGAAAGGACGACGACATTTCGGTCCGTCTTGGACCATTCTCAAGTCGATTGTGAGACTTGAGAATGGTCCAGGATGGACCGAAACGTCGTCGTCTCTTCACCTTCTAGTGTGTGGTCTGGTTAACATACTTCAGCCACGTTATTGTGCCTCATCGCCTGCATAAACTGGCATATGACCATGCAATAAGAATCGGTATAGATCTGAAATACTGAAGATAAACTCATACTAAGACAGTGTGAAATCAAAGGTTCTGTTGGGATTGTGTAAAATGTTAGATTATAATTAATATGCTAATTTTTGCTGCACAAATTATTCATGGTGCTCCTGTGTAGACAGTGCTTTTATGACAAAGAAATGTTTATACTACAGATTATTATTATATTTTTCAAAGCTAAACTTTTGAAAGCTCCAGTGTTAAAAGTTTGTTAGAAAATCAATGAATTTAAGATATATTTTTAATAGAACAACTGTCTGTGATATTATGTATTGTTCTTTAAAAACTGGTTCTCATGTTTTATATAGAAACAAACCAAATTGTTTGTATGTTATTTAATAAATGTATTGTCCTTAGATTGGTAAATAATTCAATACCTTTTCTGAACATATGATTTAAAGTTATGTTACTTTAGACATGACATATACAGAGTATTTGCCACTTGTGTAGATGCACTGAATTTACCTAAGGGCCCCTAACACTAGTGGCCTCGACAAGGGCAGGAAGCCAGCACCTTGTCAAAGATCCCCCCATGTGCCCTGATGATTTTTTTACAGTTGGATTTTAAAGTTTAACAGTTTTGGGTATTTACGGCTTCAGCGGGAAGGCATTTCTATGGGTTTATAACCCTGTGGATGAAAAAGCATCTGTTTTCAGTCATGCATTGTGGCTTGTTGAGTTTGAAACCATTGTTCCTTGTTTGTGTTACATCTGACCTTTTGAAGACATTGGATAAACATCCTCCAAATTGTTTAGTATTTTAAAAGTTTTGATGATATCCACCCTGTTATGCCTGGTTTACAATGTTGACCCCTCAACCATTCTTGGTACGAGAGTTGACCTGGGTCTGGAATGATTTTTGTTGCCCGGTGTTGTACTTTCTCCAACGCACCTATGTCCTTTTAAAGATGAGGTTTCCATGCTTGGACACAATAATTGATGTGGGGGCGCACTAGAGATTTATACAGTTGAATCACTACCTTATTTTCCTTAAAGTCAAAAGTACGCTTCAGTGTTCCCAGAGTTTGGTTAGCTTTTTTTTACTGCTGCTCCTGTACAACTTTCAATTAATGGTGGATTTTGTCTCCAAAATCCTTTTCTTCATCAATCTGCTGCAAGGTTGGTTATCAATTTGGTAGTTGTGACATGGATTGTTATGCCCCACAAGCAGAGTCTTTCATTTTTCAATCTGCTGCAAGGTAATTTTATCAATTTGGTAGTTATGACATGGATTGTTATACCTCACATGCAAAGTCTTTAATTTTTCAATACCTGGTTGATACCTGGTTGATGGGGTTCTGGGAGTTCTTCTACTCCCCAAGCCTGGCCCGAGGCCAGCAATATTAAAAAGCATTTGCCAGTCTTCTGGCCATTTGTGGAGTTTATGGAGATCTCTATATAAGGCTTCAGTATAATTTTCATTTCCCACTTTACCATAGATCTTGGTGTCATCTGTGAATTTGATGATGTGGCTTGTAATATTCTCATCTATGCACAAGAAATGATAAACGTGATGTATCAATGTGAAAATCAGTAGAAACCATGAAGAGGATTCAAACTTATCCTCTGGATATTCCCAAGCAATCGCCTTAGATCACTACACCACGACAGAGTCAAAAGAATTGCAACCTGGGATTCAACTGAATCCTCTAGGGTTCCTGAGGCTTCCACTAAAGCCGAACCAGGGTTTTGGCTTTGAGTACCCAGATCATAAGGTCGAATCCTCTCTCACAGCTCGTACTGAATTTCTCAATCTCATCTACGTCATTGATGTATATAACAAAAAGGACGGCCCCAAAATAGACCCCTGTAGTACCCCACTCACCACATTTGTCGATTCTGATTCATTCTAATTTAGCATCACTGTTTCCTTTGTTTTAACTATTGAATGAGTGGAACATCATGTTGAAAGTGGTGGATGAGTTGAGCATCACATCTGAGTGTGGTGGATGATAAAACATCACGTAAGAGTGGTGGATGACTGGAACATCATGTGTGAAATTGGTGGATGAGTGGAAAACATCGTGTCTGAGAGTGGTGGATGAATGAAACATAGCATGTTAGTGATGGATGACTGCAACATCACATATGAGAGTAATGGATGTGTAGAATATCATGTGTAACATTGGTGGATGAGGGGAACATCGCGTCTGAGAGTGGTGGATGAGGGGAACATCACCCCCTGAGAGTGGTGGATAAGGGGAACATCTCCCCCTGAGAGTGGTGGATAAGGGGAACATTTTCCCCTGAGAGTGGTGGATAAGGGGAACATCACCCCCTGAGAGTGGTGGATAAGGGGAACATCACCCCTGAGAGTGGTGGATAAGGGGAACATCTCCCCCTGAGAGTGGTGGATAAGGGGAGCATCACCCCCTGAGAGTGGTGGATAAGGGGAGCATCACGTCTGGAATGATTTCCAGGAACTGGCGGCTTTGCCGCCGGCGCAGATGCCTAGTGGTATATTTCCCGCAATAAATAATAAATCTAGATACATATTAAATAAGCAAGTAACAGATTTCTCGAACAAAAAAAATTAATTCTCGGGATTATTTGAGGCAAAATTTGCGTTTGTTTACTTGTTTTGGGAAAGTCCTAGGGTTTGTTTATTTATTTACGCGTGGGCATGCAAGTTTTTTTTATGCAGGATGACGTAGGCAGAGCGGCTGCTTCGTCCTGGAAAACGCACACTGGCAAGTCCCGTGGTCCGATCAATATCACGTTAAGAGTTGCCGATTTCCCCTCGCTGTCCCCTCGGCCAAGGGCACGATGGTCGGGGAAGAGCGAGTGCCCGCCTTGGTATTTAATCCCAGGCTTAAAAAAAAAGACGAATGAAGGTGAATTTCTTGAGTATATCATTATTTTCCTACAGTTGTGCTCTATGATGGTGCTGGAGGCTGACTGGACAAGGGCTTTGATGCGCTTAAAATTCCAGATTCCAAGTTTGCCCTCCAGGCTACACAGCAGCAGTTGCTAATGACTAATTTATAATTTAATTATGACCGCAAATGTCAACAAATTATATACATTTAGTCTATCGTATTTATTGAACCACACGTATATGACCAGTTTCCTTGCGTAGTTCAGTAATTTATCATTCAAATGTGTCTGAAGGAAAGATAGAGAACATTGTGCAGCTGGCAACTCGTGTCTCCCCTCGACAGGAGGTTGTGTGATCTGGCAGTAGTGGCCGCTGAGGCCTGGACGCCTTCGGAGGGAGACACTGCTGTCCGCGCTCTTCTGGCACTTTTGCTCACGCCGCCATACACTAAACGGTGAGACACTCCAAGAAACTACGATACACCCTTATCCTATTGTCAATACCCTTGTTGCCTCATTGGCTTATTGTTTGTATCGTTCCTGGAAACCCACATCTGCTCGAAACCTCAGAATCTGCGTGAGGGGAAGCTTATGTTTTTGATCTGGGGGGATTGTTTGTAAACAAACATGTCCTAACGAAATCTTAAAGAGGTTCCAAACATTGAAGTGCAGTCACCGTAAGAAAATGCAAAGTGTTGTGTTAGTTGATTTGTGTTAGTTAAGAATGAATAAATACCAGCAAGATTCTCGCGACCCGGAAGTCAGCGACAATACTGAAGGACCCTTACGGTGTCAGCTCTCAATGTCCTCCACGTGGCTGTTTCTGGGCGCTGACATCCAGCGTTGCTGGGCGCTGACATCCAGCGTTGCTGGGCTCTGACATCCAGCGTTGCTGGGCTCTGACATCCAGCGTTGCTGGGCTCTGACATCCAGCGTTGCTGGGCTCTGACATCCAGCGTTGCTGGACGCTGACATCCAGCGTTACTGGGCGCTGGCATCCAGCGTTACTGGACGCTGACATCCAGCGTTGCTAGATGCTATGATGCAGTAATACCGTAAAAGGTATGGTGAAAGGGGTACCAGCACCAGGAACTGCAGAGGCAAGTTGCCTCCGGAGCTGATCACTAAAAGTACTTCTGAGAGTGTCAACATGACGGGAGAGTTGTTGAAGGGGAGTCGAACCCTCCTCGGTGGCGTGTTGTGCGTGTGTGTGCACTAGGCTTAATGTATTGACTCTCCTAACGCCCGTTCTCTTCGTGAATTTAGGTCAGTTGTTTGTAAATATGATGTTATTTACTTTTTGAAGGAAAAGGCATGTTCATCTTCAACGTATGTACCTTTACCTGAATAAAAAATCTAAATCTATTGAAGATCAGAAGCAGTAAATCTTAAAACAGAGCCGGAAGTGGGAGAGTCAACACGTGGCCCGCCACCAGCTGCATGTTGGACCGGATTTAACGACTTGAATATTCAAATTCAAATTCAAATTCAAATGTTTATTCGGGTAAACGTACATACATAGAAAATGAGTTACAAACAAAATGTTGGATTTATAGATAGAGCTAGTACATACAATACCTAAAGCCGCGTTTCAGCCAATGTTGTCTTTCACTTGCAGTATATACGTTAATAGTCAATTTACAGTTTTAATTAGTTTAGCTTAATAAGCTTATTTAAATCCCCCATACATAAATCCCTAGGCTATGGCAGAACTAACACATGAGCTGAACGCCCAAAACTGGATTCAGAAATTAGCCCGTAATGTTCTAAATAGGCTACGTTATTTACATTTGTGATAAGTTAGTTTCAATTTCTAATCACATTCCCGATGTAGTGATTTCATTGCAGTATTGAAAGTTGACATTACGATACTTGATCATGAGACTTGCAGGTAGTTCAAGCTTACATATAGCGTGTATTTGTGTGTACGTCTGATACCATACTACTTGTGAAGGTGGAAATGTAGATGTTTATCTCTCAGAATGTTTGGTAATATGTTTATTGTTTGTGATGTGTGTCTATGTATGTATTAACACGTTGTACTGAACGGGGTGAGAATAGCTTGAGCTACCTCATCCCTTTGTGTGTATTTTACCTCAATAAACTTATTTCAATTTCAATTATAGCGTGTGCGCTTGAGATACTCTGGCTAGGATTATGGATAATGTTTTAGTTTAGCTTAGTAAGCTTACTTCCGTTTGATTCTGCAAAGCTGTTGCTCATTACGCTTGCTCTTAACGTTACAAGAGCTGCAGTAATGGTGAATCATACGGAAATAATTACTGAATAGTCCAGCTGAATACACAGTGTACTTACGTAGTTGTGCTTGCGGGAGTTGAGCTTTGGCTCTTTGGTCCCGCCTCTCAACCGTCAATCTACTGGCGTACAGGAGCCAGATGTACAGTGTTTCACTGATTAGTTGCAAAGGCAAAGATCAGCACCTCCGCTGCTCTGGTTGTGTAGTACGCCACTCAGACCACAGCTTCCTGATCTGATTCCTATTATCCCCCCCCTACCCCCTTGTACCCTGCTGCCCCTCTCTTCGTAATCTTCTATCAACCTTATCTACAAGCTCCTCACCCCCCCCCCTCTCCCTCTGTAAGCCCCTCCCTATATCCTTGTATGAAGAGATAGAGGTATCCTTTTATCAGGCCCTTCGGCCCTCTCTATAAACCCCAAAGAGAGTTTATAGAGAGTTTATAGAGATGGAGCGTCCCTCAACGCTCCATCTATTCCCTGCTCCTTCGCAACGACTTTCTCACCCCCTCACCAGTCCTCACCTCCCTGCAAACCAGCACCCTTCGCCCTCTGTGCAGCGCACCCACCCTCACTCTACTATGGTGGTGAGGCTGGTAGAAATGGCATTTTTACCAGCCTCACCTCCCTTTGTAACCCTATAGTAAGCGTATTAGGCGATGAAGACTTTATAAATAGCCCAACCAAATGGGCTGGACGGTAGAGCGACGGTGTCGCTTCATGCAGGTCGGCGTTCAATCCCCGACCGTCCACAAGTGATTGGGGCACCATTCCTTCCCCCCCCCCCTCACCGTCCCATCCCAAATCCCTATCCTGTCCCCCCCTTCCCAGTGCTACATAGTCGTAATGGCCTGGCGATTTCTCTTGATAATTCCCTTCCCCTTTATAAATGGATGGTCCCTTATAATATAAAACAGATAATGATTAAATCGAATTGCATGAATGTTTAAACTGGGACGATTTGACTATGCGTTTTTGGTAAATCATTGCAAGAGCGCAACAATGCAAGACAAGGTTGCCTGCTGATGTCTCCATACCAGAATACAGTGCTACACCTTTATGGTCGCCCATCCACTTGCTGGCCAGACCCTAAGACTCATTAACCAGATATATTTTTTGTACAGATTAGGCTCCACAAAATCAAAGACGCCTGTTTAATAAACGCAAATTAAAAAAAAAACTAATCCTATTACATTTTTATAGAATTATAATAATAATAATAAAAATAATAATTTATTTACAAAAAAGCACAATGTGTTTGCGAGATTACATAATTTTGTTGTCTGTACATTTTTTACAAAGCCAATAACACGTATATAGCATTTTGGGCAGCAAAAATAATTAGTAATCTAATTATCTATTGCTTAAATGACGTACATAATGTAATTAATGTAATTTAAAAAAAGGATATTTTAATACAACATGTAAACAGTTTTCTTGTATTAGGAGAAAAGAAAGTTTGTGCGGCGCTCGTCATATTTCACCTCAGTCCCCCCTCCAACACTCCCCGCTGGGAGGAAGATAAACAAACCCAACATGGACCACTAAGACCGGAAACTCTCTGGGATTTACACACCCGCCCGGCCTCCTGGGTGGTAGTGGTGGTGGTGGTGGTGGTGATGGTGGTCGTACTGGTGGTGGTGGTAGCAGGGTTTCATGCAGTTTTTTAACGTGTGGCAATTATGAGGAGAAAATACTAAGCCAGTATGACTATATAGCACTTGAAAGGGACCTGAGAGACTAAGAACTGGGATTCGAGGACAAGGAGTTGGGATATGAGGACAAGGAGTTGGGATATGATGCCAAGGAGCTGGGATATGAGGACAAGACGCTGGGATATGAGGCCAAGGAGCTGGGATACGAGGACAAGGAGCTGGGATACGAGGACAAGGAGCTGGGATACGAGGACAAGGAGCTGGGATATGAAGGACAGGCTGAAGGAATGGAGACAAATCCACCTGTGTCATGGGGTCGAACCCTCCCCCCACCTATGACACTCCATGCAACGCTGCGCGAGGCTATCCATAAGCATCTGGCCTCCAACCTCGGACAATCACTTTTTATATATAGGTTTTTCTATCGAATATATACCAATGCGTTAGCAATGCGATGTATTAGTCAAAATCAAAACACCGTAATATTAACGTTTTCTATGCATCGGCCTCGATAGGTTAGGTGGGTTGCTTGGGTTCGTACGTTTCTGATTGCATAAAGCAGTTGCATTTTTTTACGAAATGGGAAACTTAGAATAAGTTATGATAACAGGCGGGCTGTCCGCCTTGCTGACACGTGTAATTACCTAAGTGTAGTTACAGGATGAGAGCTACGCTCGTGGTGTCCCGTCTTCCAAGCACTCTTTGTCATATAATGCTTTGAAATTACTGACGGTCTTGGCCTCCACCACCTTCTCACCTAACTTGTTCCAACCGTCTACCACTGTTTACAAAAGAAAACTTTCTACTGTTTTTTTCCCGTAGCAGCTGTCTAACTCCAAGGTACCTATTTACTGCTAGGTGAACAGGAGGCATGAGGGTGAAAGAAACTGCCGAATTGTTTCCGCCTCTGCCGGGAATCGAACCCGGACCCTTAGGACTATGACCCCCGGAGCACTGTCCACTCAGCCGCGAAGTCCAATGTGTGTGTGTGTGTGTTTACTAGTTGTGTTTTTACGGGGGTTGAGCTTTGCTCTTTCGGCCCGCTTCTCAACTGTTTACTAACTACTTTTTTTTCCACACCACACACACACACACACACCCCAGGAAGCAGCCCGTGACAGCTGACTAACTCCCAGGTACCTATTTACTGCTAGGTAACAGGGGCACTTAGGGTGAAAGAAACTTTGCCCATTTGTTTCTGCCTCGTGCGGGAATCGAACCCGCGCCACAGAATTACGAGTCCTGCGCGCTATCCACCAGGCTACGAGGCCCCCCAACATGTGCGTGTGTGTGTGTGTGTGGTAAACCTGTGAACGTTCTTGTATACATATTTTGATTTTCGTTTGAATTTTTTGACTCGCGGGAGCCTCTCGCGTGTCAATACAAGGCAAGGAACAGTTAGTAAGGGGGTAAGGGGGAAGTGTGGGGGAGATGGAAGGGAGTGAGGGGAAGGGAGTGAGGGGAAGGGAGAGTGAGAGGGGTAACTTGCACGAATCTGGGAAACCCGTCTTCACCCTGATCAATAACGCGGACAATACTTAACGCGCCAAAAAACGTCCTGGTGTCGCGAGACCGCTGGCCATTGGCGACAGTGGCTCCAGGAATGGGGAAAGTGCCGAGCCACCACGACTATAGAGCACTTGGAAGGGGATCAGGATAAGGATTTGGGATGGGACAGGGGGGGGGGGTAAGAAAGGAATGGTGCCCAACCACTTTGGGGGACAGTCGGGAGATTGAACACCGACCTGGCATGACGAGAGACCGTCGCTCTCCCGTCCACCCCCAGCGGCTGGGGGTGGACGGGTACAAATCACATCGTACATAAGACAGTTCGTCCACGGATTTCAAGACCTCCCTAACCTAACCCAAACTTAACCCAAGCTTAACCGAAGCTGCAGGAGACTGATCCAAGGTCCTCCTCCTCCCCGAGGAGACAGTGATCCAAGGTCCTCCTCCTCCAAGAGGAGACAGTGATCCAAGGTCCTCCTCCTCCTCCTCCTCCTCCAGGAGACAACTCCATTACTATGAAAGTCCTGAATCATGGCCCCGAGGAGAGCGCTGTGACCCTACAGCCTCCCCCGGAGTCTCCCATCACGGGTAAATATTTACTCGTCCCATAAACGTGTGGGTACAGAGGGCCGAGGCGAGGACTGTGCTTCCCTGGCGTCCAGGAGAGACACCTTTGGGTTAAGAATAGCCGCAGACTCCTCTTGTCCCACTCTCCCGGCCCACTCTAGTGCACTAATCAATGGTGACTGTTTACATTACCATGCAAATGAAGTAATTAACTGTAGAATCGGTGGTGAGGGGGAGTATATATATATAAACTTTTTCACTTGGGCAGCTGGGCTTGGTAAGTATCGACCCCCCTTGACCACACCACACGCTAGAAGGGACGACGACGTTTCGGTCCGTCCCTTCACCTTCTAGTGTGTGGTCTGGTAAACATACTTCAGACACGTTATTGTGACTCATCGCCTGCATCGACCCCATTTTCTCTATAAATCCCTCCCCCCATCCCCCACACACCTCCCCATCCTCCACACACCTCCCCATCCTCCACACACCTCCCCATCCCCCCACACACCTCCCCATCCCCCCACACACCTATCCCCATCCCACCCAACCACCAGAGTCATAACATTCTGGCTCCCACTTTCTATTTTGGTCAGATCCAGTTTAAGTTTTTCGTTTTCACGTTTATTCCGAGGGCTGTGTTTGGGGGGTCGCGTCCGCAAACGATTTTTCACGCCAAAATGGGCACTTATGATTGAGCTTTTTCAGTTTGTGGCCGATTCTTATATGCTCGTTTGGAGTGGGAACTCAGTCATGAAATTGTGTGTGTTACCGAATGTGACAGAAAAGGAGGAGAGCAATAATTCTAAGACGATTC